GAGGATGCCATCTCCATAAAACCACATGAAATTTTACACACTCTTACTTAGAACTTTACACCTGTGCTACTAGTGGCATAGGGTGCAGCCCAATTGATGGATTCCAAAAAAAAAAAACACTCGCCCGCCAAAGTGTACCTAGCTCCATGAGAGGTAAGTAGAGGACTGAATGTACAGTCTTTGTGCTGGTGGTTTCATTTACAGGAGTCCCACATCTCTGCACCATCTCTAATCGGCCTCCAGTCACCGGATACATGGAGATGTTACGAGATTCTCAAACTACTGTCACAGTGCATAGTCAGTTGGAGCTCTCGCCAGCTGTATGCACCGACCTCTGATATTACCAAAGTAGGGTGGTGGGAGATCTGAAGGGCAAGATGTATAGAGAGACGAGACTAACACACTTATACAGCACAAGGCAAAACAGTTCCTGTCACGAGAGACAACTCTGCTGTGTCTGCTAGTATACTGTATACATTGGTCCCACACCAGTTGCTGCACATGTATTTCCACTATCTGAGATGGCCAGTGGACTAATGGAGAGACGTTTGGTGTATACACACATTAGAGCGCCCTCATAGTAGATGAGATAAAGGTTTGAGGGCCGACAGGAAATGTGGACACTCAAACCAAGATATCTCAAGCTTCTGTCAATGTTGCAGTACACGTCAAGGATATGTCTCTGTACCAGGCATAGAGCAGTATCAGATCGACTCTGCTCTGATGGCACAGTAGTGCGATGGGAACTACAAGAAAAACAAAGTGATAAATCTTCTGAAACAATCATTCAAACTATGTAAATTACGGTTAAGGTTAGGGATGGTGATAGTTGAGCTGACAGCGCCATTGAGAGCAGATGCTGTGCAAGAAAGAATATCCCCAACATTAGATTGAGTTATGTGGCCAGTCTTAGTTCATCATAACCCATTCTCCCCATACATTCCATATAAGTGTGCGATCTGTATGTTCCATAGTTGATGCCACTCAAAATCCAGGTTACCAATACTTCCACTGGGTATAACTACCCGGCAAGAAGTGAGAGTAACTTCGTCTACCAATAGTGACAGGAAAAGTGTGAAGAAGTTATTGAGATACTTGTCGACTCTGTAGAGAGAAATAACAATTAGTGCGTGCAAACCGACCATCTTGTTAGTCCCATGTGAATGAAATGTGTTGCGGCTTTAACGGTGTTGAGGAATGATGCAACCTGTGTCAGGTAATGCGTAATTCGGTACTCTTGTTAGCCCAGCAAGAGCTCAGCAGACGATCCCTCCAGTGAATTGTCAGAGTGTAGATCTGGTATCGTGCCCAGTTTCTGTGATAGTTCATGTGGTGGCTGTGAAAATGTTTGCCTGGCTTCAATCACATCTGGCTCGACCTGGCTTACCCTCTGAGACACACTCATATCACCGAGGTTATATGAAGAGTAAAAACACACCCCTGTCAACCATACACTAGCATACTTTAAACGAAAAAAATAAAGTAATATACAGTGGGACAACCCTGAAGTGAGGACACCTCTCTAATAAGGGACACCCATGAAGTGAGGACACCTCTCTAATAAGACACCCCTGAGTAGGACACCTCTCTAATAAGGACACCCTGAAGTGAGACACCTCTCTAATAAGGACACCCTGAAGTGAGGCTACCTCTCGAATAAGACACTTTTCTTCACCAAGAACAGTTCTTAACAGAAAGACGCTTTGTACCATTGTGTCTAGATTAAACCTTATGTGCACTTACCATCAAATTTGATATCTTCGCTGGCAGAATGTGGGGATATTATTGAGCAGACAATTCTCCCAGATGGTGTATTTACACTCTTAGTGAGGTTGTACTGGGCAGTGACTGGGTTGTTGAGGACTTTGTTTCCTTCTCCCAAGCTTTGTGAGGTTTGCCCCAGTGGGGTTTGCCGCCAATCAACTCTACCGATAGGGCCTCCAATGGTGACACAGTTCAGAGTGTACCGAGGCCCTTCTCTATTGACAGTCAGGGAGATTTGGACTGTTGCATTACCTAATGTAAATGAAAAAGCAAAGAAAGGACAGTAATACAGATTGCACATTACAAAACACTATTACTGATCATAGTAAATATCACAACAAGTTTATTGCAGTTGTGGACTTTCCAAGTTGGTGACATACATAGATCTTCTGTAGCTTTTTCTGTACTCAGCATGTAGTTAAGTTACAGCAAACCCCTGCATGCTTGTGAGGTGGGTACAACCCTGTATTTTTACCCAGTTACGTACGTACTACAATGCATTGTACATCAAACCTTGGTACACCTGTGCTTTATGTAAATGTAGAATGGTGTACTTACAAAATACATAAAACTGCTCTTCCTACCTTCATTTGGAGGGTAGAGTCCCACATGATATGACTCCAGTTCACTACTCTGGTCATTAGTCTGTATAGTACATCGATATATCCCTGACATGGCACTCCGGCTGGTGACAACAAGTTCAATTCTGCGATTGCCATACACTTGATGCACACCATTGACAGCACTGCTTGTCACGGGAACCCCATCTGGTCTGAACCAGGTCCCCTGAGAGCTGTCACGACAACAGCTACTCACAGCAGTTACACATCTCAGCCGGCGAGCGTTGTTCGCCATATCGTAGCGATCTACAAGGCCATGGTTTTCCACCAGCCCTCCCTCGTACAGAAACTGGCTCTGAACTCTTGCAATCACCGCGATCGCCACACACAAGAAAACCTCAGAAACCTGCATTACTTCTCCAGTTACATGAAGAAGTCTTGTTAGAGAAAGACAATTAAATATGAGTGAGTTTCTTCGATCCCCACTTCCCGTGTGCGACTGTACGCGCTGTGGAATCATTGATATTTTATGCCCTGTACAACATGACATTACTAGTGATAGATATGATGCCATAATATCAACTTTTGTGTACACATGCAATGAGAGAAAACTGGTACTGCTGAGGTACACTTTAATTAATGAGGCACTGTTTGTGCAAATTCTGTTTTCTCAATAACCAACAACAACATCCGATAGCATCCCATGCCTGTGCTGTTTGGTCCTAGACCAACACCGTGTCTGTGTGCTTGGGAGGTAAAGGTAACATCATGTGTCTTGCTGTTGCTGCTGCTAGCAAAACGTGTTTACCACTCAATCAATCAGAACTGGGTTGAAAGGGAGTCAGGAGAGGGAGAGGGGGAGTGGCAGGACACCTGTGATCTGAATACAGACCAAGATTCGGATCAAGCGGCAACATCTGTCACAGTCTGCACAAGTCTTTGATAAAAACAAGCAAACTCTGCAGTTGGTATACACAAAGCACAATTGTGACACATCAGTTTGCCATGCACTAAGCAATAAAGCTGCGGGAAGTTATGTTGAATAGCAGCTACAAACACTTTTGTGCCGTCTTACAACTGAGGAACTAGAAAACGATATGTTTTATGAATGGAAACATCTCCCTACGCAGTGTATGTAGTTCACCAGGTAAAAAGGAAGGGCGGTTAATATGACTGCAGTACATGGATCTAGACACAGGCATGGGAGTGGCACAGTAGCTCGTGTTAAGTCCTGCCAAATGCCATATGTCCAGTGAAAGCCCAAAGAGTGGGAGAGTGCACGATTGGGAGTGTTGGTAGAGACAAGGCCCACGCAGCGTGCTAGCTATTTGAGACTGGATACCTCCCATTGCGGATGAATCAAGACAAAGTTTAGATCAGTCATAGTTCACCAGTGCATACGTGGTATACAGTCCACGATTGAAGAACCATTTGGACCCTGTCTGGACCTGAAAGGTAAGAGAAAGAGAGAGAGATACTTAAGAGTGTTGCCTATCCCATATATGATAGCCAACTGCCTAGGGTAAGATAATATGACTCTAGAGACTTAGAATGTATCGGTAACTACAATAATCCACCATAATTATATTATAGCTAAGTACTTGCTACCGTTTTACTTTCCCCACAGATGATGGCTTCATTACGACTAGGACTCAGCTCTGCAGCCGTCTTGTTTCTCCTACTCCCTCTGTTATTGCCGGTGGCCCCTGCAGTTAGAGCTGATGACGAGCACATTTGCTCTGAGCCGTCTGGTCCCCAAGTCCAGCTGCCTCGAGAGTGGCACTTGTGGAAGCAGGAACATGGCAAAACCTACAGGTGATAGCATATGATTACTCACCATACTTTACTACCTCTTGTACACATTGTACACTCCAAATCATAACATGAGTCATATTTCTGAGTCTATGAGGATTGTCTGTTTTTCTCTGGGTGTTTGTTTGTCTGCAGTTCTTTCAAAACGGAGCTAGAGAGGCACATCGTATGGCAGGCCAACCAACAGTACATCGACACTCACAACAGATACAATTCTTCCTTTGGCTACACACTTGCCATGAACAGACTGGGAGACTTGGTATGAGAGTGACAAAGAGTTTCTTTTTGTAACTGCTGGCTATCTTTCTCTCCCCTCTAGACTGAAGCAGAGTACCAGAAGCAGTACGGGTGTATAGATCACGCAGACAACGGGTCATCTCCCTTTGTCTTCTACTATTCCCCAGTCTCAGAGGATGCCTCAAACCTCCCCACCAGTGTTGACTGGCACACTAAGGCAGCAGTGTCTCCTGTCAAAGACCAGGTACCTTTGCCTAATACACTTACAGATCATGTGAACACACAATGTAACTATTCGGCGATGGAAAAGAACTGTCATTCTTTTGATAAGTCATGAGTGAGTTCAAGGGAATGCAGACACCCAGACTACAACTCAATAATAAAGAGCTGCCCTGGGTGGAACTTGAAACCCATGACACTCAGCAGTCTAGGCATGCAGTTGACTTGTTTGCCTTTGCCTTTGCCTTTGCCTTTCTACCTCACCTTGTTGTTGACACATGCTCATGGTCTAGTTTTGTAAGGACATCCCTACGTAAGATTGCCTCTGCTATATTCTTGATCATTGACCACCGCAGGGTGACTGTTGTGCCAGCTATGCCTTCAGTGCAGTAGGGACTCTGGAAGGAATGGAGGCTCTTGCTAATGGATACCTCACCACCTTTAGCGAACAGAACATCATCGACTGCTCAGGTCTTACACAGAGACACACACACACTCTCTCAAATAGACTTTTAAAAAAACCATATCTCCCTTTAGCTAATACCTTTTATTGACCCTCTTGAAATATTAGTGCCTTACTTTCAAAATTTATGAGCTTAAACTGATTTACTTCCTTTGGGAGCGAGCATAAAATGTTAACCCTCACACACATCATGCACCTCTTTAGCTGTATCCTAACACTCTTGAAATAATTATTGCCGCCTTATAATACTTTCAAATGGACTGAAACTGATTTACATCCTTGAAGAACAAATATAAATTCTCACGTGCAGGTCCCTATGGAAATCATGGATGTTCAAAAGGAGCAGTGGACAGAGCGTTCGAGTACGTCATAGAGCAAGGGATAAACACAGACACCGTGTACCCGTTCCGCGGGGCTCGCAAGCGGTGCCACTACAAGAGCAGCAAGCCCGGAGTGACTCTGAGGAGCTACCAATGGATTAGGAAAGGGAGAGAGACTGACCTGCAGAGTGCAGTCGCCATGGAAGGCCCCATTTCAGCTGCTATTGATGCAAGCCACAATACATTCCGGGTACGCTTACTTCCCTAATTACAGGGTTTTACTCTATGTCGGAACTTGAGATTACAATGGACCCCGATCACATAGAATTTCTCATTGATCATAATGTATGCACTATAGGTCTGATGTATCTATACTCTTGGTTTTGCCACAGTTCTATGCCAGTGGCGTGTATGATCAACCAACATGTTCCTCAAACAAAGTGAACCACGCAGTGTTGGTAGCTGGATATGGGACCGACGAGCAGGGGAAGGACTACTGGTCTGTCAAGAACAGGTAACCATTCTCCCACTAATAATCTTTGCAACTTTTAATATTGTTCCCCCTTTCTCTCGTTTACTCTATGCCTCCTTTTTCTCTCTTTCCCTTCCATTAACCATTCTTTCTCTCCTTCCCTCCTTCCCTCTTTCCCTACTCCCTCCCTCTTCTCTCTCGGCAGTTGGGGAGTCCTTTGGGGAGAAGACGGATACATACGGATGTCGAGAAACCAGAACAATCAGTGTGGCATCGCCTCCCGAGCCATTTTCCCTGCACTATGACTGTTTCTCATTTGCTAGTCATAACATGTGTTCATGCTGATAAATACTGCTACATACAGCAAACGCTCTCCACTGAACTTGTGCTTGGTGTTTTGTATGTCGTTTCGTCCTATAATATATGTAGCATAATGTTTAACAACGCAATCAACGATGATGAGAAAAGAAGCATTGATTAAAATTAATGCTTCCACGTTAAGTTTAATGGCTTATGAACGCGTGTAAAAACCATAAACGTGTCGATATGAAATTTGAATGTAGAAAAACAGTGCAAATGAGGAGGAAAAAGGAAGAATGGTTGATGTTTTTGTCCTTTATGTCCATTAAACATACAGATAATCTACTGTGACATGCATTTTTATAACTTAGCAACTCAGGAGCTCTATCAAACAGGCTTATACCATAACATAATACACTTGTTTGTGTTATAAAACAACCATTGCTTAAAATGGTCATGTCTTGGGTGCTTTTGCCAGAATCATGAGATTTGGTTAAAACAAACTTCCCTGGTAGCACAATTGGATACAGTATAACCAGCAAAACTGCAGAGTCAGATTGTGCACATGACAGTTTATCTAAGGTACAAAAGCTATTTTGTGTAAGCTTACTCTAAGGCAACTTAAACTTGCAGCAGTATGTTATGATTTTGAGCTGCACATGCTTCAAAGAGAGATGTTTTAGCATCTACTGACTTCTTCCATCCCTTTTGGTCAATAGGTGGAGGTGGATGGTTTTTCATTTGAAAGTAACTTTTAGCTACAGTGTTGCATGTCCATAATGCTACAGGTCAGGTAATAATGGCTTGTGTTGAACACGGGCATAACACTGTCTTCTCATGTACTGCATAAGCCCCCCTGTGAGCCAATTTCAATAGGGTACAGCCCCTCCATAAAGACACAGTTATTACAGAGCCTACATTATGGGGGAGATACAACACCTCAATGGGTGTACAGCCGGACATATCTTGCCGTGCAATTCACATTTACACAGTAGAGATGTTGGTGAGTTTTGAATTACCTGTTTCTCTGGTGTTCCTCCATTCATTATAACACATCAGTCACCTCACTCCCTACCCTCTCCCCCATGTCGACCTGTGTCGCCTTACACCCCGACATGGGCCACTGTATGAACTTAACACTTCACACGATTGTCTCGTGAAATCGTTACACTCATTACGTACACGACCTTGGCAATTGAGGACACTGAACACCATACTACATCTAGTGACTCCACACACATTCATAAAACCATGTCCGGCATATGACTTAGTACATACTTAGCCTCTCCCTTTGTTCCAGTGACAGAGGCTCACATGCTAGGCCCACTGTATTCAGAGGGATCTATGTTTTCATTAATGGAAAACAACTATACACAGTGTGGGGGGCCATATATCAGTGTAGGAGTTGGACCGGCTTGCCACACATATAGAGCAGGTAGCAGTGACTGGAGGCAAGTGAGACAGTCAGTCATCAAACTGAGCTTGGAGCAAGATTTTCAGCAGCTGATACTATAGCAAGGTTTACTTTATCTCAACAGGTATACAGTAGGTTAGACTGAGGAAGAGATGAAGGCAGATAAAGAGGGCTTACTATTTCTCTCACCACTTGCAGAATCTCGCTATCAAAGACCAGGAATGAAATCACTGGTAGTTTTTCTGGCAGTGGTCGCCATGGGTACGCCAGCAGCCATCCAGTACCCCGAGGAGTGGCACCTCTGGAAGGCAGAGCATGGAGTATCTTACTCAGTGAGTCATGGAGTAACTTTCTTTACCCCAGAGCATATAGAGCAACTTTACCCCAGAGCATATCTACAGCAAAATGAGCATAGTAAAGTAGCTTCAAACAGCATTTCATAAACCTACACATAAGCATTTTCTGTTTCTCTAAGTAGAAACTTTTTGCCTTGTTTCTTCTGATCGCAGGATGATTTGGAGGAGCTGAGAAAGCACATTACCTGGATGTCCAACAATGCTTACATCGACCAGCACAACCAGTACTCTGACACCTTTGGCTACACTCTCAAGATGAACAACTTTGGAGACCTGGTGAGCTAGAGGGCGAGAGGCAAGGGAGGGATAAAGCGAACGGAGAAAGGGAAAGGCGGGAACGATAAGAGAGAACAAAAGTAGACGCAATAAATAGCTCCCCCTTTAGAAAATATACCACTGTTCAGCTTATAGCATTACAGCTTTCAGGATGTATCCCAATACCTGACAAAGTATACTGTACTAGCATGCAAGAGAGCTTGGTAATGAGTTTAGTGTTCCTGCCTCCAGTCGTCACAGGAGTTTGTCAAGGACTACATGTGTGTCAGCAGCAGTAATACTCACAACGTCTCCCGAGGTCTCTCTGGCAAATACGGCCACCTCTTCAAGAAATTCAACACATCTCAGTACAAGTACAGCCTCCCTGACGACATTGACTGGCGTACCTCTGGTGCTGTCACCTCTGTCAAAGACCAGGTCAGCTGCTGACTCTACAACACACAGCAGTGTACACGCGTATATCTAGCTAGTGTAGTGTATATCCAGCAGAGAAAAGGCAACAAACAGAGCCTCAGCTGTGTATCAAGTCAAGTCACGTAAACTGAACAACTCGTGCTTTTACAAGAAAGAGAATTAGAAAGATTTCTAAGAGCTTCATGACCTGGAAACTGAACACATACTGACAAGGCTCATGCACACACAACGGGACTATATATCTTTACATGTGAGAGTGTTTGGTTTGTTTGTGTGTCCAGCTCCGGTGCAGTTCCTCGTACGCATTTGCTGCTATTGGAGCTCTCGAGGGAGCCATGGCTCTCTCAGGGGACAGTCTGGTGTCCCTCAGTGCACAGAACCTCGTTGACTGCTCAGGTATAATACCTACGGCTCATCACACCACTCTGGTCTTTTACTGAATGTATCTCTAATTCAAAAGTGGAGCCTTCAAATGCTACAAATTCTTTTTCACCTCCCTCTAGTTCCCTATGGCAACCACGGCTGTTCGTGTGGAAACCTGAACAGTGCCTACCTCTACATCATTGACAACGAGGGAATCGATAGCAACTACTACTATCAATACAAGTCAAGGGTAACTTGCAACTAAGACAGCTCCATCCTCTCTCTCTCTCTCTCAATTTCTCTCTCATTCTCAATCTCACGGCTAAAAACAGTCTCTGCATGTTCTCTTTATCCTTTCTCTCCTTCAATCCTGCAGCAACTGTCCTGCAATACTACAAACAGGTACAAGGCGGCCTCAATGAGTGGTGTTGTGTCAATTAACTCTGGAGATGAAGGGACCTCAAATCAGCAGTGGCCAATGTTGGACGGTTCCACTATGTTGACGCCAGTCACAGCTCCTTCCAAGTAAGGACCCATTCAGATACTGCGTGATCATTTCTCTCTTCTCTTCTCCTTTTAGTTCTAAAGCGAGGGGATCATGGACATTCAACTGTTCTCGTAGCAAACTGACCCATGCCATGGTAATCATTGGTTATAGCAGTGGACGTCGCACAAGGACCTGGCTGCTGAAGAACAGGTACACGTAGAGAGAGAGAGAGAGAGGGGTAGAGATGCTGCAAAACAGTCTACTTAGCTTCCCGTTTTTCTTCTGTCCTGGTCTTTTGTGCACGGGTGGGTTTGTTTTGTGTTTCGTTGTTTTTGTTTTCTGTTTTGTGGGTTTTTTCTCTACTTACTTGGCTCTCCCTTTCTCTCTCTTCTCTCTACTCTCTCTTCTCTCTCACACACACTCTCTCGCTGCTCACTCACACACACTCTCTCTCTCACTCTCTCTCCTCAACGCTGGGGTCCAACTGGGGATCAATGGCTACATCAAGATGGTTCGAAACAAGAGCACGCAATGTGGCGGGTGGCAACTCAGCAGGAGGAGCGCTTCCCACCCTATGATGTCCTCAATCGTCTCTCTCTGCATATTAGTAGTGTCATTATAGCTATCGGACATCAGGAACCTCTTTTACGTGTAGGACAGTTTGTACTTTTTCCACTCTTTTCTAATCAACTCTGTAGAGTCACAGGTCATGTTTGTGGTAACTGTGCACACGTACTCTGTAATCGGTTGTAATATTGTCTTGTGTTGAAATGTAAATGAATTCCGTCGTGGTCAATTATCTTTCGTGGATCATGGACGAAAATGAAACGCTTTTGCATGATTCTGACGTCATCGATCACAGACGCAACTTCAGCACGCAAGTCGCAGAAAGGGAGCGCAACTGTACAACATGTTTTTGTGTGAAAAATGAAACGCTTCCTGCATGATTCTGACGTCAACACGAGGGCAACTTCAGCCCGCAAGTTGTCAGAAAGGGAGAGCGAACTTATACACAACATGGTGGTCAACTTGCTATCCTGCATGCACCAAGGACACTCTTGCACCCCGTTACCAAAAAATGTGCTTGTCTAAAGCTACTCAAATTTC